TCTCTTTGTCTTGATTGCTCTGGCTTCAACTTTCTGATGGTTCCACATCTGCATTTGTATAAGACTAGCTACTGCCCTGGGCAGAGATGAGGCCAGGTTTGGTTTCTGCTTTTCAAAAAATGTTTTTAAAAAATCCTTTTGGTGAACAATATTTTTCCTGCCTTTTTAATATTTCCTTCTCTGGGTTAACTTCCCACAGTGGGTTTTGGGTTGCAGTTTGGGCACTCGGTCTCTAAAAGGTTCGCCATCACTGCTATAGGGTATCAAGTTATGGAGAGTGTCCTTTGCCTCTTGGGTCAATAGGGAAGAAGAACTAAGAGGTCAAGATCTACAGATTCTAGTTTCCCTTTTCTTAAATTGCTAACCTTCAGGGAAGGCTTCAGGAAATTCCATAAAATCTTTGTTTAGCATTTCAGAGTGGTTAGCAGAGTGGTTAGCAGGGCCATGCAACACAATAAAAAAGAACTAGAATATCAATAACACCGCCAAAGCAGCTATCTTGATTTTTTTTTTTTTTACCCAAAGCCCCATGGAGGTCCCTTGTGGTTAGACCTCCAGTCTGGGAAGAAATACCACCAGGAATCTCTCTCCTCTCTAGCATAAAATCCAATTGGGCTACTGTTATATCTTCTGTTCTTTAGGCATTGAACAAGCCAGAGTGTTGAAACAGCAAACAAGTTTATTAACTCAGAACAGAAGCAGCCCTAAAGGCTGCTGCACAGCTATTTATACAGTTAGCCTCTAGGTGGCAACCCCAACCTCATTATCAGCTTGGAGACAGCCAGTCTGGCTTTCAGTAACAGCAACTGTTAAACAATACAGCAATGTAGGTCAGACATTAAGCAAGTGATTTAAAACAGTTGTGGCCAATACATTACAGTTACTAACCATCTTACAAGCTTAGGGCTGTTGTCAGGATCAAATAAAGGGGGAAAATAACGTCTGTACAAACACTAAGTGCCTGGGAGAAATGGCAGACAGTTATATATTTTTAATATAAAATTAGAAATCTGCAAATCAAACATAGGCCATCTCTGAAGATGGAGGTTGGATGATGGATAATAATCACTCCTCATTCCATGTGTCTTGAATTTATCTCATTCTGTCCTTGTCTATATTTGGTCTTCAGCGCAAAATTACCATTTTCTTAAGGAAAAAAAGTTCACTCTTTTGATACTATTCATTTCATCAAAGAAATATCCATACAGGTAGTCCCCGTCTTAATTACCATTCATTTAGTAACCAAAGTTACAACAGCACTGAAAAAAGTGACTGACAACAGGTCTTTGCTCTTACAACTATCACAGCATCCCCACAATCACATGATCAGGTGCTTGACAACCCACCTCACAGGGTTGTTGTTGTAGGGAAAAGAGGAGGAGGAAGGAAAGTTGGATATGTTCACTACCTTGAGTTATTTATAAAAATAACAAAGGTGGGATGCAAATAGATAAATAAATTTTGTTCCACGTGCACACACATAAAAAACATAGAGTGTCTTTCTTTTTTCCATGCGGCACACAACCCTGATTAACAGCAAATCCTTCCCACTCCTCCTTCCAGCACATCTTTCCATAGAATAAAATATTGTTTCCCAATTATGAATCAGGAAGTGAGTTCATGTTTTCCAGTAAAGCCCCGATCTTTATGAGGAGGGATGCTGAATGAGGTAATCATAGGGCATAGCATACACACAGACATCGCATCTCAAGTGGACTGATGTCATGGAAGCTGGGCAGGCCAGCTGTGAGCTTCTGGCGATATCACTTTCAAAAGCATCAGCCTGGGGGCTGGAAATTTGCAGCAAAGATTTCTGGAAGTTGAGCAAAGGCTCCAGTCTATTGTAATCATTTGATTGGTATTCAGCTTTTTCCTGCGGGCTGAAAACTATGAAGATCAACTTGGGAGGGTTGTGAACAATCCTTAGTGAAATCATGGAAACTCCCAACAAGAGGGGGGGGGGAATACCAAATCTATTATTCTACATCTTATCCTTCCTAGGAATCCAGGAGGAGATGACAACTACAGTTATCCCACCTCAGGAATGGAAAGCAGGTGAGAAGAGAGGGTGTAAATATTATCTTACTTTTCCTAAGGAAATCAGTTAATTTTTTTCCTTTAAAAGGGTTGGAAAACTACATCCCTGGAAGAAGAGCCCTTTTCATCTCTAAAAAAAATAAAAACAATTTTACAGTCAATGCAAAGAGTAAGGAAGATGATGCTCACAAAGCCATGCAGGCTTTGTAGGCAAATAAAAGAGGCTAAAGCAGTGGTTTTCAATCTTTTCTTCACTGTGAACCCCCTTTAAATACCTTCTGTGGCCTGGGCCATGGCCACGAACCCCCGAGACTTAACTCAAGATTTAAACCATAACATTTCTTCAAGCCTTTGTGGACCCCCTATATGATATCACGGCCCTCCAGGGGTCCGTGGGCCGCAGGTTGAGAACCACAGGGCGGAAGCATTCTTTAAGTCCAGAATGTCCATATAACAGTGATGGCGAACCTTTTAGAGACCGAGTGCCCAAACTGCAACCCAAAACCCACTTATGCATCGTCGGGTGCCAGGTGGGTGTGGCCCATTGGGGGGGCATGGCTGCGGTGGTAACAGCAGACTGGGTGGGACTAAAAAGTTCAATCAATCAATTCCAACTTTGCAAGATTTTTTTTTTCCTGCGAGAAGTTGAAATTGATTGGTTGATTGAACCTTTTTTTTTTGTACACGGCGGCGGAGGCCTAAAGCGAAAAGGTTTTATAAAACCCAGCTGAAAGCCTAGGACTGGGGCGATGGCACGCGTGCCCACAGAGAGGGCTCTGAGTGCCGCCTCTGGCACCCGTGCCATAGGTTCGCCATCACTGCCATATAACATTAAGAAGTAGCCCAAACACCTCCCTAATTCACAGGAGTATAGGAAGAGGGAAGAGTTACAGCACGAAGTTGCAAGATTCTTTATAGCCAGTTCTGTTTTAGCCATCCATTCAAGTTGATTTCCAGGCCTGGTCTGTCTAGTGGGGCTGACAGTCAACTTGAGAACTGGTAGGAGGAATTGTACAAGGGAAGTGGTTCTTGCTCCAAGGTGATCCAGCTGGCAGCTAGGTCAGGGCTTTCAACATTTTTCGAACAACTCCCATAAGCTCCAGATAGCATCTGAGATACCAGCAGAACAACAGGTTGCCTAATCTTTCTCTAATGAAAATAATACATGAGATAAATAATAGGTTTTAACTGCTGTCAGATATTGCCCAGAAGAATGATTTATCCCTCCCTCCCGTCTGTTTGTTTGTTGTTTGTTCACCAGGTACCGAATGTCAGAGCCATTGCACACCACCACAAAGACATGTCCACATGAACTTGAGGAACTATTGCAAGAAGGATTACGGTAACGTTTATTATTTATTTGAGATTCCACCTTTCCTTGCAGGAGCTTATGCAGTTTTTTCCCCATGAGAACAACCTGAGTGCAAACTCTGCGGAGGCATAATATTGGCCCAAACTCATCCAGTCAGCTTCCACAGCTGAGGCTGGATTTGAACCTGGTGCTCCCCATTCCAATTACCTTCATCACTACAGTTAGTCCTTGTTTAACAACTGTTCTTGTTTAGCAACCACTGAAAATTATGAGAGTGCTGAAAAAAATAACTTTCTGACTAGTCTTCACTTTTATGACCATTATAGCACATGACTAAAATTTGGACACTTCACAAAAAGCAGGAATGTTTGACCTTTGCAGCAGTCTGTGGTTTATGTGATCACCATTTGCATGCTTCTCAGCTAGATTTCAACAAGCAGAGTTAATGGAGAAACCAGATGTAAAGTCATAAATCATCATCACATGATAGCTTGGCTAACAATGTGGGTGATTTGCTTAACAGCAGTGGCAGAATGGAGGTTGTAGGTCTATGGCAATGACTGCCTCACTTAGTGATGGATTTGCCAGTCCCAATGATGGTCATTAAGCGAGGACTATCTGTACACCAAATTGATGCACCATTTCTCATTTCCATGCCTATTATTTCACTGCTGGCAAAACTGTGATAAAAAAACAACTGGAATAGTCAACCAGGAAGTGGTGTTACTGTTCAAGTAGTCCTCGACTTATGACCACAACTGAGCCCAAAATTTCTGTTGCTAAGTGAGACAGTTGTTAAGTGAATTTCACCCCATTTTACAACCCTTCTTGCCACAGTTGTTAAGTGAATCACTGCAGTTATTAGCAACACGGTTGTAAAGTGAATCTGCTTTCCCCATTGACTTTGCTTGTCAGAAGGTCACAAACGGTGATCACATGATCCCGGGACACTGCAACCGTCATAAATATGAATCAGTTGCCAAGCCTCTGAATTCCAATCACATAATCATGGGGATGCTGCAACAGTTGTAAGTGTGAAAAACCGGTCCTAAGTCACTTTTTTCAGTGCCAGTGTAATTTTGAACTGTTATTAAATGAATTGTAATTTGAGAACTACCTGTATAACATGCCCCTCCCACAGAATCAATCCAGGAAATATAGAATATATGAAATTAATAGTCTTCATGCGGAAGGTGATGCTATGGACCCCTCATACATCTATTAAAACAACCATTTGCTGGGAAATACTGCTTTTCCCAGCGACGATGCGCCTAGTGATGATTGCATGGGGTTGCAAATTGGAGTCTTAGATGGTACTGTTTAGGGGTGGGAATAAAAGAGAACTTGTAAAAGGAGTGATGTCATAGCTCCAGAAATAGGGCAGGATCACATAACAGTTCACTTCCTGATAGGTTTTTTTTTTCTCTTTTTTTGGTGACCTTCACAATACTGATGGCAGTTCTCCAGGCCCAGCTGTTGGCCTTAGAGAAGTCTGGAACATGGTGGCAATTTACAGCCTCAGTCCTCACTGTCTACCGCCAGCGTCGCGTGCCTATTCGTCGGGGAGAGCAGCCACTCTGGGTACCAGAACAAGATTTGGCCTGCCGGTGCCTCCACCTCCAAGTGGGCAAATTTTACCTTATCATCGGCAACGATGCCGAGTCACCTGACCCTGCCCGGCTAATCCTTGACAAAAACAGCCTTGCTCTGCTCTGGAGGGATGCTTGGGCACATAAACTGCGAAGTTTCCAGCAACAAAGCAAGCATGGAAAATGCTGAGGTATCTAAGCCAAAGAGGTGATGGGAAAGTGGGTGAAGAAACAGGTAGGAAAAGGCCTGAATGGGTAGAAAAACCCTCACACCCAAACTGAGTTTTAGAGTCCCACAGAAACTCCCTTGGGTACAAAAAGCTGAGCTTAAACTGGAACTGATTTTGATTTTAAAGTTTTAGTTCTGCATATCGATGACCCCCTCATTCATCCTTCTGACAGACCCATGGGTTGACATATTATCCCCTCTTTACAAGCCAGAGGAACTCAGCTGAACTAGAAACTTGGTTTTGGATGAATTAAGAATTAATGGAAAATATTTGGGCATGGGAAGCTGCTGATTAAGCTATAGCACCCCGAGCCATCAGGAGACTAGCCGGGCAGAACATATGCTATTCTTCACTAGCAAACTCTATCCTGCCATAGGGACAAACCTCAACAAAAGGTGCTGTTGTTATTTACCACATAACACAGATGGAGAATAGAGGTGTCCCCTGGCTTTGTTTTCCTTCTCTCCCTTCATGGGAGGTAGGATAAGGATAGGATAGGATAAAGAATAAGATTCAGGCAGAGGTGAAGTTGAGTTTCAACAGAGGATTAAAGCATCCGTCTTGGTCATCTGTCAAAACCCAGTATTTTGGGGCAAGTGTTTTTCACAGCTGCATTCAAAAGGAACCTCACCATCAATTGATATCAGCTAATAGTCAGATTTCTTTTGGTCATGAGTTTGACATTTTTCAAGGGTGATGTCTAAATTAGTCAAGAACCAGTTCTGACAATAACTCTTCCTGTGAGACCTTTGAAACCAAAACTATCAAAGTAGTTAAGAACTGTAATGTATCAAGTCATTTTTAAAAAGCTGTATTGTGTCAAAAGATATTTTAAACACAGCACGTTACTATAATGCCAATAAAACAGAACTTCTCAGACATTGTGGTGTCAAGAGCCACTAAAATTTCAAATAGGTCTGACCTTTCCCACCATCTTCATATCAGATATTCAGGAAACTAAATAATACAATTTAACTAAAGCTAAATTGAAACCCTTGAGAAATGCAGTGATTTTGGAATGTAAGACTGACAGAAAAATGTTCCATATAAAGAATTCCCTTTGAGCTGGATGGCATTTCTTGATAATAAAAGGTTAGAAAATTTGTCGTGATTGCTTGATTCAAAGAAGTGAAGTCATAACAAGAAACAGCTTGAAATCCCTTCTGAGTGAGGCTGGTGAAGATCTAAGTGCTTAGAATTTTTTCTTATTTAACTCACTTCCTTTTTAATATTGCTGATGTAGTACGCAGGTCTCCTCAGGGTGCCGTCGGCCAAGCAGTGTCGGCTGGCGACCCCCAGGGGGAGGGCCTTCTCTGTGGGTGCCCCCACCCTCTGGAATGAACTACCCCCCGAGATCCGGATGATTCCGGATCTCCTTACTTTCCGCCGCGCCCTCAAGACATGGCTTTTTCAGCAAGCGGGCCTGGCCTAGGGAGGATTTTAAATCGGGTTTTTAAATCGGGTTTTTTTTAAGAATAATTTTATCTGCACAACTTTAAATATTGGTTTAATTTGGTTTTATCTGGTGGGGGGTTGTAAATATGTCTATGTTTTTAAATATGTTGTGAGCCGCCCTGAGTCCCGTTGGGAGAAGGGCGGGATATAAATCAAAATAAATAAATAAAATAAATAAATAAATTAGAACAGTTTTAGAATCCTCAACTTACAATTATTTGTTTATTAACCATTTGAAGTTACAATGGCACTGAAAAAAAGTGTCTTATGACCACTTTTCACACTTAAGACCATTGCAGCATCCCCATGGTCACATGATCAAAATCCAGATGCTTGGCAACTGATTCATATTTATGACATTTGCAGTGTCCCGGAGTCATGTGATCCCCTTTTGTGACCTTCTGACAAACAAAGTCAATAGGGAAGCCAGATTCACTTAACAACCATGTTTAGCAACTAAACAATTGCAGTGATTCACTTAACAGCTATGGCAAGAAAGTTCGTAAAATGGAGCAAAACTCACTTAACAACTGCCTTGCTTAACAACATAAATTTTGGGTGCTATTGTGGTCATAAGTTGAGGACTAACTGTAAAGGCTTTACAGTTAAACGGCATCTATGGGTCATTCTTCTACATAGAATTGGGTTGATTCAATAATGTTTTGTGTTCTGAAGCCTGCTGAGCTAAACAGCTAAAGAGGCATATGAACTCATAAACATTTGGGAGAAATCCCTATCCATAAATAACGATTATGAACATCACGTTCTGTTAAAATGAATTCAATAGGCATAAAATGCTCCATTAGGTTCTTAAATCCCAATCTTTCCAGTACAGTTAAGCTAACTCACATTGTTCCTACAAACAGCCACCCAGTGCAGCAGGTGGAAGACAACTAAACTACGTGCTGCCATGTCCCTATCACATTTTGCAAGTTGTTGACCTTTTCACGTCATCACCAATCACAATCCTGAGGATGACAGTTCACATAATGATTTGTATGGTGAGAATCCATTTTAAGCTCTGGATGGGACAGGGTCACATATTTTTTGTATTTTTGTTTATTCAGTTTGATAACACAAACAGGGATAATAGTTATAATTGGTGAATGCTGGCATGTCACCTAAAATGTCATATCATATCATTTTTAACATGTGTGTCATAGGTTGCATCACTGGGTGATCTTGTCCAAAATGGGGCTTTGCCTGTGTATACAAATCCAGCAGATGCACCTTGCATAGATAAGAGCAGGAAACATTTTGAGGACTACTTCAGAAAAGCTCTAAACCAGGAGTGTCCAACCTTGGCAACTTTAAGACTTGTGGACTTCAACTTCCAGAACTCCCCAGCCAGCAAAAATTCTAACCTCAACTGAAGTCCACAGATCTTAAAAGTTGTGAAAAGTTGGACATCCCTGCTCTAAATTATATTTAAAAGCATCCTGAACAGGTGACAAAAGAGGGCAGAGATTCCACTCTTTCTCTCTAGTTTCACCATAAAGCATTCTTTTCACACCATTGGTTGTTCAGGCTAACTTAGTTCTCCAAATAAGGGAAGAGTTCATAGACCTGATGGGTACGAGGAGAGAACCAGAATGGGTCACAGGAGACTGCCCAGCAAGGGCCAGAGGGGGCCTGGCTAAAATGACCAATAGGTGCCAGACTGATCCCATCTCTAGGGGTTCCCCATAACACTGATGGGATGGTTGAGAAAGACCCCCCCAAGTTGCACTCACTTGAAAATGAACATGGGTTGCTGCTAAGGAGAAAAACAGCCAGGACAGCTAAGGCCAAATGATGGCTGTTAGAGATCAAAGGCAACACCCTCAAGCTGCTGGGACATGTTTGCAAATGAAAGATGCCTCTGAGTTAAGCTGGCTTACCCTCCCCCAAAACTAGGCAATTTTTGAGCAGATGTGGCAGAATGTAGTCTGGATTCCCAGGAAGGAGGGGCTGCACTGCAGAGGCAAAGAGATAATGAAGTTTAGATAGTCTGGAGGATGCTCCAGACAGTTCCTTCCTAGAAGTTCCCAGAGTATATCTTTAAAGTACTTTAGCAAGATTTTAGTCCATAGGTGAGGAACAATAAAAGAAGCTCTTTAGAAGTAGCTCGGCATGTGTCCCTTGGTTTTTGGAGCCTGACAGAGATAAATACACTGGAGGATAAAATGATTGGCAGTTGCTACTATATCATGCTAAATACACACAGACACAGAGACACAGACCCGATATCAAAGGCATGCATGGGACACAACCCAAAACTATTGCAGCCCTTTTGTCCTGCTAATAAACATCACAGAGGTAAGTAGGTAGGTAGGTTGGTTGGTAAATTGGTTGGTTGGCCAATGAGGGACTGAATTGGCCTCTAATCTGAACCAGCATGATGCTTCATTGTTTTACATTATGAGCCAGGGAAAGGATATATTCCTTACTACTATCACAAACCATGTGCCAAATGAGATGATGTGGAACTGGCCTTCAACCTAGGATAGTCTTCCTGACATTTGGAAATTAATAGGAAAAATCTATTTGGAATCATTGCATTGTTCCTGTTAAATGTGAAGGATGCAAAGGAAGAAAGAAAAGAATGAACTTAATGGAAGGGGCATCAATAAAAATTCAGAGAAAATGTATGCATTAACAGGGAGGTGAGGCTGGACCCAGAGGGCATTGCTCTATAATTGGATCCTAGAGCGGCTTAAAAACATTAGGAACAGAAATCTTTATTAAGTTTGCATTTTAATTTAATTTACCTAATCTGCAATTTCAAATTAATGTGCAGACATGGTCACTTACACCTTTTTGTAAATTTTGTAATAGAGTTCTCCTGTCTGAAAGCATCATACAAAAATGTGTGTATTAGTAAATGCATACACACAGAGAGAGAGAGAGAGAGAGAGAGAGAGAGAGAGAGAGAGAGAGAGAGAGGAGAGGCATATTTGGAAAACATTATGCAAACCCCATTTTTACAAGGGAAGACTGCAAAAATGTCTCCAAAAATGTGGTGCATCATGTGTTGACTTCTGAGAAAAGAAATCACAAAGATGGAGAAACCGAAAAGAATACTCTGAAAAAAGAGAATCAGAGTGAAACCAAATTTATCCAAAAGATATTAAGATTAGGATCATGGAACCCTATGGATTATGGAATGAGCAAGATGTTCCTAAATTCCAAATGCAGTTACATCTCAGGGTGCAATCTTATTTATACCAGGAACAAGCCATCATTAAACTCAGTGCAGCATACAGTAGGTATGAAAATATGGAAAAGATTGTCTTCTTTATTCAGACCAACAATTATTTTTTGTCAGACAGTCTTGGTTTCAGAGCTACTTCTCTTATAAAAAAAGGGCTTGTGATTTTTGTCTAAAAGCTTCAACTTCCACACAGTGATATAATGCAATAATTTTAAAGTTAGGGGTCAGCAACCTGCTACAGACAAAGGAAGCTGTAAGGCTCTTTTTCACAGCCTCATTAATGTATATTCCTCCAGTGTGCAGAAAAATATGCCGGCATAATTTGCATTACCCTGATGGCCAAGCTCTAAATCGCCCTCAGTAATGAGGCTTGCAAGTGATCTATCCGTACAGTTTTACTGCAGCACAATTTAAGGGCAACCATTGATAGATTCCCTTGGTTTTCTTTTCCTGTCCATCCTGCACCAGTTCCCAGGGGGAAAGCACCATCAACACTCTTAACAGGAGGAGGCAGGCCTAAGTAAAGGTAAGTGGGTGCCTGAGGTGGAAGTTCTAGGGCCTAGGCCAGTGGTGGGATTCAAATATGTGAACAACTTGTTCTCTGTGTGGATGCCGCTTCCGGACATCCATTCAGGGCCTAGGCAACAAAAAATTAGCTACCAGTTCTACCGAACTGGTGCAAACCGGCTAAATCCCACCACTGGCCAAGGCCACCCTTCAAGTGGTCCAACTGACAGGGTCAAAACTGCCACTCAAGTTACTGCTGTTTCTGAATACAGATCTATCGGTTGTCTGGAACCCAAATGACAGGACTTGTTTGCATATCTTTTGGAAGATTAGTCAACCTCCATCCAAAAACAGTGCAGCAAGATTCGCTTAACAACCACATGATTCACTTAACAACCAGTGATTTGCCTAACAACTGTAAAGGCTGTAAAATAGGGCAAAACTCATTTAATAACTGCCTCGCTTAAGAACAGAAATTTTGGGCTCAGTTTGATTGTAAACCAAGGAATGCTTGTAGTTCATGGATGTGATTCACAAAGTGGCTGTATTGTTGGGCAGGTTTTATATGCCTTCAACCTTCCTCTTCTCCCCCTTCCCCTCCACCCCCCATCAGAGTTACTTAGTTCAGACATCAGCAAAGGAAAATTGCATACAGGTAGTCCTGGACCTATGACTTATAGCTGCAAAGTTACAACAGACTCCCCAAAAAGGAATTTACAACCAAGATTCAAAGTTACAACAGGTGGAGGCCCCTTCCTCATGGTAACATGATCACTTTTGGGTAGTCAGTAATTTATGGACATTTTCAGGGTCCCACAATCACACAACTGCAATCTATGACATATTTTGCCAGAAACTAGCTGGTTTTTGGCCAAAAATGCCCACTGAAGCCAATGGTTCACTTAAGAAACACCACAGAAAATATCATAAATGAATCAATCACATGATATCCTGCTTAATGACCAGTATGACATATGACCTTAATTCTGAGCTCAGTTATGGTCATACGTTGAGAACTACTTGTATTAGTGAGGACTAAGTGTCTAATAGATATTGGGTTCCTGCTAAGACAAACTAGAGAAATTATTATCTAATTGGGGTTAGAGCTGGAAGTTTGTTATCTCACAGCTCATGAGAGTAAATAGGAAGAGCTGTCTTGTCTGAGCAGACTCCTTTCCAGGTGTTAATTAAAAAAAATGCCATGTTGTCATTTCAGTTAGGACATACCTCGTTACACTGAGAAAAAGAATGGTCAGTCATAGGAGATAACATATTCGTGGAGAAAAAATGCAATTTATAACCATGATTTGCCAGCAACCTACTCCTGATCAAAAATATTATTTAAAAAATAAGAATATTGATTTGGGAGGTCCCAATTCAAATTCTATTGAATTTCCTGTTGCCCTTGTGACCCCAAATTGCTGGGCCTTACACCCTCACTTTAATTCCTGATGGTTAAATGGTAGCGAAAAACAATCCAAATTTAATCTGTGTTGTGCAAATAGACTCTTATTATTCCCATCTGATGTTTAAATCAGCATCACCATCTGGTGGTTGGTTATGATAGCTATTACTATTTCATTTGCCATTGCTTTTTGTAACACCCACAATAGGGCCAGATAACATTGATAAAAATATAATAAACATTTTGTTGGGGGAAAGGAGACATGGAACAACAAATCAGAACTTTTGTTTTATATTTATTCCATGATTTCAAAAAGTCCCTGCAGGAAGAAAATAGCATGTAAAGAAGAATCTAAATAAAACTCTTTGTTTTGACAAATTATTGTTTTTTTCTTGTGAAACACAACTCAAATATGGAATGCCACTTCAGATTGCTTAGTTCAGAAAAAAAAATCCACCTTTTCTCTTTTCTACTATTTTCATAGTATGTTAGAGACTTAAAGGCACAAAGCATGAATTTGCCCAGAAATTCAAAACATTGCAAAGACTTGGGATTCCTATACTATAGTTAACATGAGTAGGGCCTAAGGTAGTCCTCAAGTTGAAATCATTCATTCATCGACCGTTTGTGGAGTTACAACGACCCTGCACGAAGGGACATAACTATGACTAGTATTCAAAGTTCTGGCTGTTATAGTGCCTACACACACACACACACACACACACACACACACACACACACCAGTCGTCTCAATTCAAGTGCCTGTCAACCAGCTCGTACATACTACTAGTTGCAGCGGCTCACAGTTACATGATCAGCATTTGTGACCTTCCCTGCTGGCTTCCCAAGAGCAAAGTCAATGGGGAATCTGGCAAGGAAGATTGAATTTCACTCGGGAAGATTTCCCCCCCCCCACACACACTTTCTTCACTCGTGTACACATCACACCTTCCTTCTCCTTTCATTCGCACATGCTCCATATTGTCTAATCAAGAGCACTCACTGAGTTCAAAATACTAAAACATTTATTGTTGCTACCAATACAAAAGAATCTGGTAAAACTAACGGTCAAAGATAAATTGGCACTAGATAAAAGATCAACGGAATTCACAGAGTTTCTTTGGCTGCGCAATGACTGCAAACAGATGAAATGTTTAACTCCACCTTAGCCTGCTCATCTACACGTAGTCTTTTTCCACAACTTCCCCACAATCACACAGAACCTGCCCCTTTCTCCAGCCTCCCTGTGCTCACATACTCTCACATTCCCCTCGTCATCTTTCCACAGCCCCCTGAACTGACACACACAATATGCACATGCCTGCACCCCACACCCTCTCCTTGGCTTCTCTGTGCCCACACACATTATGCACGCACACCCACACCCTCATGGCCTGGACCAGGTTTTTCAGGACCTCCCCCACCCCCCTGTGGCACCTGCTCACTCCTGACCTGGGACTTGTTCTGCTTCACACATAATAACTTGCTTATCTTGGGTTACAACAACAACTAGGTCTGGATTGCTGCCGCTAAGAGATGTGGTCATGTAATGTTGTGCTTTACGATTATATTTTTTAGCAACAGCAATCCCGATTCTGATTGCAGTCATAATTCAAGGACTACCTATATTGAATGAAATATATTTTAATTCACAAAGTTTGGCATTTTTTTGATTGCAGCATTGCTCCCTGCCATCCAAAATCTCAAATTTCCTGATGGTTTTCAGCTTGAAATTCCTCCCAAGGAAAGTTGGTCTCTAGACCACTCATATTTTCCTGGTAGAGCTGGTGGAAAGCAACACTTTGCTCTTCAGTAAAGTGAGTTTTCCAGTCCCCAGAAACTCCTGCAAAGAAAGGGAAGAAAAAAGGTGAGACACTGTGTGTTTTACTGCACCTGGAGATTCATTGAACTTGGATTTTCTCAAAGCTTTTTGATCTCTACCCTTCCTGAGGAAAGTGCTGATCTTTTGGTCCATCACTTCTTCAGGAACTATGGTGTAATTCACCATCTTGTTGCTCTTCATCACTCCAAAGGAAGCATTTTCCACCACTGAGTCAACAGCAGCAGGATCCAAATTCTTGCCTAGGAATTCACAGATGCGAAGAACGCTGCCACGTAGATCCTAAAGAGAGAAGATCATGAGGAAAAGCTGGATCTCTAATTCAGGACCTTTAGAACAAAATGACTCCTGAATTAGAGTGGGGCAACGAGGAAGAAAAATGATGGAAGGAAGGAAGGAAGGAAGGGAGGGAGGGAGGGAGGGAGGGAGAGAGAGAGAGAGAGAGAGAGAGAGAGAGAGAGAGAGAGAGAGAGATATGATAGATGGATAGACAGATGACAGACAGATAAATAAGGGAGACAGGGAGATGGAGAGAGAGAGAGATGGTAGACAGAGAAAGAAACAGAGATAAACAGATGATGGATGGATGATAGGCAGACAGACAGACATCTACCTTTAGCAAGTCATCATAGACCAGAAGGAGAAACTTCTTCTCATTTTTGTAAGCCAACCAGCTTTTGACATGATCAAACCAGGTGCCAAAGAGAACTGAGGTAAGCAAATAAGAAGAAAAACATTTTTGGGTTGTTGGTTTTTTTTGTAAGAGCATAGATTTTAATATAGTAAGCAAAATAACTCTGGAATTGGAAACCTATATGCACTTACCTAACAGCAAATTCCACTGATCCCAGCAAAACTGGCTTCTAAGCAAATGTTCATAGCAAAAGGAGAGGGATACTGCACCTCCAGATGTTTTGGATAACAATTCCCACAATGCCTTGCCACAGTCCATGCTGGCTAGGCAACAAGGAACCAAAATCCAAGACATCTGATGGAATGACCATGTTGCCCACTCGTGTCTGACAAATTGTCACCAAAAACCATCATCTCAGCCAAAGGAAAAAATGCTAAGGAGACAGCAAGGAGCTAAAAGTTCACCTGTCAGAATTCATTTGTTATTATCTAACAGACAAAGCAGATTGTTAGTGCAGACTTGACATCCACAGACACTTGACACACAGGGGGATTCTACAAAGGACTGGCATTTTGCTTCATCAGAGGACATAATTTAATTGGTTCCAGGTCAGGCAAAACATGACCCAACCGAACTGAGAAAGGAGCAATCAGATTTACCAGTTGCATCTTTTACATGCCAGAGGTCAGTGCTATGAGTTGTGAGGCAGTTAAAAGCGGGTCAATTTTATGACAAAAAAATAACATAAGCAACTCATGTTTTCGTTGTATAAAGAATGAAGACAGCAAAGGGGTTATGAAGGGGCTAAGATGGATAGTTAATAAGATGTTAGTGGTGATGGATCTAAGGAGGATCTCAGAGTAAGATGATAATACAAAATGGACAGGACCCTGAAGGCCAAAGCTAAAATGGCATGTTCCTCTCTGAATCTGGATTGGTTTCTGAGCATTTTTAAACTAGGTTAAATTATTTTAGGACTTAGACTATTATAATGTCTAACACTCAGAATGTAGTCTATTTCTCATTTTCTTCCTATCTCAAAATTCAATGAAATAGCGCCATCAGTTCTGGGCAATTGCATTTGGTGGTAACTTCAGGGGTTCCAGATTAACCTGGGACTCTGGCTATCCATCCAAAATAGACTTGTCAGGTAGTACATGTGAAGGGGAAAGATGAATCATCAAGAATAATAAAAGAGGGAAGATGGCAGTCAATGAGGACCTTCTGACACTGACTCTTTCTACTGGGGATTCCAGTGCTTTGGCAAACAAATCATGAGTCTAAATTTCCAGCCTCTGCCCACATACGTTTCCCTGCTGAAAACAGCTCAATAAATTCTCCAAATCCTCTCTAAACTCCAGAAATGAAGACATCTTGGCATAATGGTAGAGTGATACACAGACATCCTTGGGGTCACGGACAGTGTAAATAGCCTAGAAGAGAAAGTTTTCAAGTATTAGAATGGCTTTATCTCAATGGTTCTTCCCACAGTTCCTTCCCAAAGGGCAATCTGGTGAGGCCAGGAGGCAATGTTAACCTCTCTTACCAGTTATCAGAATGTCCCCATATCTGATTGCTGGCTGATTTCTTAGCAATGATCAATGGAAGCATGCTTTCTAACACACACAAGATAATTAAGATTCATCCACCACGTTAACCCATAATGGGTTTCCTTTGATTTTGGCTTAGTGTGTTAGCCATCGTGGTTGTAAACTACAATTACAATTGTCCCTTACTGAAGACATAATTGAATTCAGGAATGAAGGTCCCACAATAATGTTGCAGGATTCAATCTGGGTTGGTCACCGGGACCAGAGGTTTAGTCTTCCAAGCTTTTGGACTGTTGCTGGAATCCATCCTCAGGGAACTTCTCTCTACTACAATGTGTAGACAGAAGTTTCCTGAGGATGGGCTCCAGCAAGAGCCCAAAAGCTCAAAAGACTAAACCTCTGGTCCTGGTGAGCAACCCAGATTGAATCCCATAATTGAATCCATTGTTAAACAATCCATGGGTTGTTTATTGCATCAATATATTCTCTCTATATGCACACCCACAAGTATATGTACAAATGGAATCACCTTAGCTTGCGAAGAGAAGAACTTTTCTGGAAAGATTGTTGCAGGCAAATGAGAGGTAATGAGACGAGGGGAGGGTCGGTTCTCCAAGTACTGGGCTGCTGTCTTGTGTTCAACCCAGGGCACCCGTTCCCAACAAGGGACTGACTGTGAGAATGTGGGATCTCCATTGCTATAGATCAAAGTAAGAATTTCTTGCATCCAAGTTGTTCCTGAAAACAGACGAGAAGATTGTATACTTCTTACCCTGAACGTGTGCAGAGCGTCTTTGAAGATATCTACCAAAGCTTTTTGTAGAAGCTGTGGAAGAAATTGCCTCAGGTCTAGGATTTGAAATGATCCAGCAGAACCATACTCACAAGAAGTAGCACTAATTAAACAAAATCCCAAGTATTATTTCAGTATTTGGGGTTTCCCCACATGTATGCACTTCCATTAACTGAGTCACTAGTTTCGATGGACAAAAACAATTGGAAGGATGGATAGACAGATGGACAGGCAGAGGGTGCAATGTACTGCACGTTGTTCAAGTGCCTGTTCTCTTTCTGTCTCATAGTTTTAAGACAATCCTGTCAACAAAGGACAGTTCCAACATACATCCAAAATCTTTTTTTTTAAAGCTTTTCAACGAGGCATCTATGCTTATAAGATTCTGATTCCACGCACTTCAAAAACTGCTAGCTTTGGTAATTTTTCTGGAAAAGTTCTAGCAATTATAATTTTATCTGTCCACACAACTGCTAAATATGAAATGATGCCTTGACATATATATTCTGAGAAAAGTGAGTTAGAGCAAACCATGAAAGTATAAATTAATATATTTCCTGGGCCCCCAAATTCCAGGGAAGCAGGGGATAGGCACTTGTATGGCTCACCAGATTTGGGGTATGTAACATCGAAGACATCACTGTCCCGCACTTGGAAACACCGGTGAGCATAGCGAACACTCTCTTCACTATGCACAATGCTTGGAAAAGTGATTCCTCCATACTGAATAGACTCGACAATCCGTTTGGCCATTGTTTTGCTACGGAGGAAGGAAAAAGACACAAGGGAAGTAAAAACAGAAGCCTGAACGTCCTTTTAACTCTCTGCCCCTGGAAAAGAGGGAACCCTCTGATGGAATTAACAGGAAAGAGGAAGAATGCAATTCCAAAGTTTTCCTTCCTTGCTTCTTCAAAATCTACTGTTTGCCTCCCGGCTTCTACAACTCCACCAAACCAGTTTTTTTCTCTCCTCCTTGTCTTCCAGCCTCCTTTTTGTGCCACTCCTCTTTGTGGCACAGGCTGTTCAGAGGGAAAACCTTGAAAAGCTTTTATTGAGAAAAATTCACAAAAAGAGACTTTGTCCTTTGAAAAGGGAGGAGAGCCAGGACAGTGAAATTCAGGTCACACATGTATATGGTCACAGTTCTCCCTGCTTTCCACACATACAAATAGAGAGAGAAAAAACAATAAGTAAAATCCAGACTTAGAAGAAATCTGCATTGCTACCATCTTTCTGTAACGTTGTACTTACATCAGAAGACAAGACCACGAAGGATTGGAGAAGACAGGTTTATTTGTGCACAATGGTTCAGAGCATTAGCATGACAGATTCTGAACACTGGGCTATTTCCAGCGTGTCATTCTTATACAGCTTGCCACTCACGCCTAACCCAATGGATGACTTCTTATCTACCTTTAACACCCTAAAAGAGGGAAGTTCATGTCTTGAGACCTCACACATAGGAAAACAGGAAGTTGATACAATTGACAGAAAACCACACTACTCTACACGGGCAATATCTTACACCATCTGAGACCTTCAGTTAACATTTCTTGTAAAGGTTTCTTCATATAATTGCACACAGGTCATTGCACACAGCCAGTTTATAATATTAGTTAATGATTGCTAAACATCACTCCTGTTAATTAAAATATTTGTTTTTAGTATTTTTCCATCCCTCTCTCCGTCTCTGCCTCAGTACATCAGCAGCTCCCAGCCTTTTCAAGGCTTCATACCAGCAAAACTCAGTTTTTCAAAAGAATCCACTCATCTGACTCACCCCCTCCAGTTTTAATTCTCTGGTAACTACTAGAGGGCTCAGGACTCCTGACCCTCCAGATGGAGAGTTTTCCTCCATTCAAGGGTCCTCTGCTATTCATTTATAGCAGAAGAGGGCCACCTGCAGCCTTCCAGATACTGTCGGACAAGCCCTATAATCTCTCTCTCTCTCTCTCTCTCTCTCCAATTTAAAAGGGTACTATCTTTTTTTCTGAAAAGAGAGCCATTATCAGATACAACTACAGAAATTCAAAAGGTGAGGCTTTGAGTCTCGTAGGGCAGTGGTGGCGAACCTATGGCACAGGTGCCAGAGGTGGCATTCAGAGCCCTCTCTGTGGGCACGCGTGCCGTCGCCCCAGTCCTAGGCCTTCAGCTGGGTTTTATAAAACCTTTTCGCTTTAGGCCTCCGCCGCCATGTGCCCCCCCCCAAAAAAGGTTCAGTCAATCAGTCAATTTCAATTTCTCGCGGGAAAAAAAAGATCTTGCAAAGTTGGAATTGATTGATCGAACTTTTTAGTCCCACCCAGTCTGCCGTTACCACCGCAGCCACGCTCACCCAATGGGCCACCCCCCCAATTGGCCACACCCAGCCAATGGGCCACATCCACCCGGCACCCGACGATACATAAGTGGGTTTTGGGTTGCAGTTTGGGCACTCAGTCTCTAAAAGGTTCGCCATCACTGTCTTAGAGCATAGAAAAGTATACAAATATTCCTTTCTCATCAGACAACCAAAATCTCTGCTATCAGGATCTGGATCTCAATTATTGGTCCATCTATGTTCTTATGGGCCATCAGTTAACTCACAGAAATGTTCTAGAACAGGGGTGTCAAACTGCCGGCCGGAGGACCGGATGCGTCATGGTGAAACCGCGCCCACCCCATTGCCGGCAATGGGAAAAAAGTTGCAATACGTCACGACACGTCACGTGACGCTGCGAGTTTGACATCCCTGTTCTACATATAACAATAAAAGCCAAGCGTTCAGCTCCCATCCACCACCATCAAGGTTGTCAAACAAACCCACTGTAAATCTGCTTTTGTGTTTTTTGGAATAACAGTAGAAAGAGGGAGATATCGAAGAGCTCATCTTTGCAGAAGATGTTAAAGACATAGGGTTCTGTGCCAAGCAAACATGTTGGCAAGCTAAATCTAACCTGCTGGAAACTTCTTCCTTCCAGAAAAATCCAGACCTCCTGTTTACTTCTCAGTTGTAACTTGTAAAGTGCCAACAAATCATTGCAGATTAAATCAGAATTGGAAGACACTGTGGATCCTCAGCTGAAGCATCTCATCATAGTTGAGCTGGCCACTAACCAAGGTGGTAGATTCCATCATCAAACAGGTTTTACGATGTGGAAATTCTTCCTCCTGTTTAACTAAAATCTGCTTCCCTGCATTTGCCCACAGTTCTTGACTTCCTCTATAGAACAGAGAGAGCTTGACTTTTCCATCTTGGTCATCACTGGGCTATTTTTACCCTTCTTTATGGCTCCTAAAAGCTGCAGGGATGTGATTCTAAGGCAGTGAAGGTCTGGATGGGACAAAAAAAAAAAATTGGCCTCTTTAGGGAGAGGCTGGTTGACTGTTGAGTCTGCAGCTGGCCTGTGAACCACAGGGAGCCCACGTATGTTCTGTGGACTAACCTTGAAGTTGTTTGAAGATTAGGTATATATCTCACCTTCTTGCTTCTTTGTAGTATTAATGTTGGATCTTCTTTTGAGGTCATTTTTATTTACCACCACCCACTTGCTTCAGGTAATTGTCCAGTTCATCAAAACCCTTCTTACAATGGGGCACTTGAACAACACAGGACTGAGCAGAGCAATTACTTCTCATGATCTGATGAGTGTTTTTGGTGATGTAATCTAATTGCAATAACTTTATTAGCAGCCGCGCTACATTGTTGGCTCTTCTTTAGCTTGCAGTCTACTAAGATGCCCAAATCTTTTCCCTTTGTACAGCAGCCAACCCTGTTTTCCCTCTTCAGTACTTCTGCCTTTTTTTTATAAAACCTAAATACAGGATTTTTTTTCCATTTTCCTACAAATATCCTTGATTTATACATGCAGTAAAATGCAGCTGAGAGTGAGCTAGTAGACTAATGAGGGAGTTAAACCCCCCCTTCACTCCACAGGGGTTTTATGATTAGTTTGGTTTGGTTTGGTTTCTTGTTAATGCCTCTCAATTAAAGTTTCCTACCAGTAAAATTCTAGCAGGTCCATCTAGAGCCATTCTCTGGATTGGCTAATATGATTCCATGCAGTGAATATATCTTGTTTGGGAACAGCATAAACAGAAGCCTGTTTACTAACCACTGAATCCTCCTAGAAACTCCTTTGTGCAACATTTCAAAGAAGTTACCCAGGATTAATAACATTTTAGAAGGAGCATATGAAAATCTGAAGCAATGATACACACCTACGTATAAAGAACAGAATACTCATATACTACTAAACCTGCCTGTTTGTCGGTTTGTAACCTTCAATAAGCCCAAATGTTGCATCATAGTGGAAAGATTTTTAAACCAACGTGCTCAAATCCACTAACTTAAAGAATGCATACAAAAAACAGGACCGATGCAATTGAAATTTCAAGGATCTTCACACCAGTTTTATTTGCCTGGTGCAATATTGCAATGGTCAGCCACAGCCAAGTAATATGATTTCTGACACTCCCTGCCAGTTCTCTACAAAGTCATTGGGGAAGCCTGTAGGAAATTGGAAGTCCCATTACTTCCCACTTCCATTACTTTTTTTCTGTACATGGTGAATCTATTTTTTCTGTTTAAGTAAGGAAATAACTCAGAAAGGATGACCCAATGGGGTCATGGGTTGTCTAATAGTTACCTAAAAATATAAGGAATGTTAAGCTTTGAAGAATTGTTGGAGAGGATATTCCTGGTCTTCACAGCATGGTGAGGCTTGTATGATTTCCTAGCTGCTTGCAGGTATCATGAAGAAATCCTTGTGATTTCTGCACTGTTTGGCCAACTTAAGGTGTACTTCTTAATCCACGGGTCTTCAAACCTGGCTGAGGAATTCTGGGAGTTGAAGTCCACAAGTCATAAAAGGGCCACATTTGAAGACCCCTGTCTTAATCTTTCCCAGCCAATCATCTTCCAGACTATAGGAAATGTAAGTATTTCATATGACTTTGCTACCCAGAATGTTCAGAAATGGCCCCATCATATTTATCCTGGACATTTAGACCACTGAGTACTGAAGCAGGTTTCACACACATCACAAAGTGTCAACTAAGAAGCACACAAACACTAAAAGATACTTACACATGAACCAGATAACATTAGAGCAGACAGCAATACATCAATCCAAGTAGCTAGCTTCTCTTTGCCTTGGTTTAGGCGACACACTAGGCCATTATGTAACTAGTTTGGGTTGACTTAGTGCAATGTGTGCACTTAGAAATTACAGCTTATACCAGTGGTGGCGAACCTATGGCACGGGTGCCAGAGGCGGCACTCAGAGCCCTCTCTGTGGGCACACATGCCGTCGCCCCAGTCCTAGGCCTTCAGCTGGGTTTTATAAAACTTTTTTGCTTTAGGCCTCCACTGCCGTGTGCAAAAAAAAAAAAAAAAGGTTCAATCAATCAATTTCAACTTCTCGCGGGAATTTTTTTTTTACAAAGTTGGAATTGATTGATTGAACTTTCTAGTCCCACCCAGTCTGCCGTTACCACCGCAGCCACGCTCACCCAATGGGCCACGCCCACCCAATGTGCCACACCCAGCCAATGGGCCACACCCACCCGGCACCCGACGATGCATAAGTGGGGTTTGGGTTGCAGTTTGGGCACTCGGTCTCTAAAAGGTTCGCCATCACTGGCTTATACATTGTGGCTTACAAACTCCATAGTGCTTTAAGCCATTAACGCTGATTGAAAATCATTTTTTTCTCTCCTGCTTAAAAGTAAATAAAGTGAGAATTTGGTCACATTTGCCAGAAGACTCAATT